ACAAAGAATGACATAAGAGGTGTGTCAAAGCGTTCTCATAGCCAAACTAGGTTAACTTTTATGTCCTTTTATCTTGTTCATTGTGGCCTGCTTAACCATAAAAAGGTAGTAAAAATTTTCGTTACGAACTTGTCGATCTTACCAATGGATTTGTCAGGAGGATTGGATCTTTCTGGTGACCAACGCTATAGGTATTATAATACTATTTGATTTTTTAAAATTGCTACACTTAATATAAAAATCCTATTAAGATGTTTGTTAAATTTCATACTGAGCATGCCTTTAAATAAATAAGCAATCTGCTGCTTATTTTATTTTATTAAACAATTATCAACCTCCATTGCTGAAATGGTAAAAACTTAGAAAAATACAATCTATTTGTGTTAGCTGTCTCTAATTTGAGAAACGACAGACCAGAGGGAAGGCAGCTAGTAAACGCCATCTGTTGGGCTACTTTAATCGAATAGTGAGATTGACCGTCACATTATAAGCTTTCCCACTGGCTGAATAAACGAGCATGCTCGGTGATAGGATTGGAAACGGCGAGTCAAGTGCCCTGACCACAAATGTTATAATAGCTCGTACAATTGTATTTCGTATCTCTACACAGCAAGCTAATATTGCCATCACACTTAAAAAACGACTTCCTTTTTATATTACTGTTGATGTTCCCTGGTAAACTTATAGGATTATAACACTAGAATTAAGAATTCGATCCAAGCAGCGGAGACAGAGTAGAAGCTTTGCCCTAAAACAAAACAAACAATTAAAGTTACCATTAAATGCTTGGTACAGTTTCTTTCTCATCAATACAACCCTTCTTCATAATAAAAGAATTATGAGCTTCGAGAATTAAACACAACAAACTCTTTGAAACTTCAGCAATCCTCATTTAGTGACGTCGTTGAACTTTTTTAATCTGATGTGCTCACAAGCATTTAATCCTACCACTAACGTTTATATAATGTTATTCTTTGTTAGGAAAGAATATGATCGGTAAGAAGGTTATGAGAATTTACTCACAATTTGTTTTCTTTTCTATAGAGCTGAACGAAAACGAAAATTCTTTAACACAGCTTCAGATCATAAAATATCTTTACCCATCAAAACGGTGATCTCAGTCCTATTTTCTCTTCTTAGTTTTTACATACGAAAACTATTTTATAAAGAAGATATAAAACATGCAACTGTTTATGAAAATATCATAGCTGTCTATAAATTATATATCTATTCGTATTTATAAGCGATGTATTATCTGGTAATGAAGTTGGGAAACAAGTGTTTTCATGATACCACAATGTACTAATTTGTATTTTTATAAAAAGCAACTAGTGAATGGAAGTTATTCTGTCATGTGACAGTAATTTTCTGACGTTCATTTCCGTTTCTTGCCACAGTAGTAAGATTGATCTCTTGGAGACTTGACATTGTCATTTGAATGTATATCAAGTCTTTCTGGAAAGGTAGAGCTCATAAGAGAAGTTGATGTTGACCTCCTGTAAAGCTTGTGAGGTAGTGGTGCTGCCTGGTGGTCAACTTCTTCAAATATCTGTTCAATCAAAAACTCTTCGTTAGTGGTTTTTATCATACCTCGCTGTAAGTTAGAAACAAGAATACAATAAAACATGTTATATTCATAAACTAATAACTAAAACAACAAGTGTAGGCGTAGAATATAATACAAGTCTTTTCAACCCACATCAATTCATCCTACACAGTGGCCAATAATTCCATTAAGTTTGTCACCTCAAACGTATTAACACCCTGAATTTCTCCCACACTTCTTTTAATATAATAATTTTTCTGGAAGGTTTGATTTACCTCAAACCATAAAAGATAAAACTTTAATTCATATAATTAGATAAAATTATGTGACAAAAACCTATTAACTGGACAGGATAAAAGTAGGGCAATGACTGTTCACAGGGTTCACTAGTTCACGAACAACGCTTTTTAACTACATCGATTTTATTTCTTTTATGTCGAAACAAGGTTTAATTTGTGTTTCAGTTATACGTTTGCTATGTTATGTTGGTGCTTCACCTACACGAATGAAGAGGGGAGTACAGTGTAAGACATTATTATGATTTTGAACAATAACAGTAAAAATGTTAAATGTAAACGTATGTTGTAGTTCGTTAACAACTACGAAAATTTTTCTTTCATTAGGTTTGTTAACACCAGAAACCATTAAACGATGAAAATATTCATGTCCATTAATCTCTATATATCCTTGTAAATAAGCCTCCAAGTGATATTTTTGTAACATCAGTTATATCGTAATATCCTAATAAATGAAAGTGGTATATTGGAAATTAATTAAATATGAATATTAATTTTGTTGTAAATTATTTTCAATATTTTCTATTTCATAATAGGAAAGTACACTATTATTTCATCAATCATACTGGAGCATGCCTTTTTACCAAAGAAAATGCTGAGATAATTTCTGAATATCCCATGATTAGATACTTATCGTATTGCGTAATATTAGACAAATATGCATACTATTAAGGCAAATTGCATTTCTCATTATTCAGAAAATTAACACAAGCCCTAGTTTGCTGATAGACAACGGAAACAGAGCGGTGGATTTGTTTAATGTTCGTCTTTCCGACTGCAACTCTCAATTGATACTTTCATCATTATTGTCATAACTAGTGCTCAAAGAAAGGTTAGATTTATGTTACTTTGATGACCTAATCACACATATGGATCTTGGAAACTTCGAATTCCGTAACGTCCAAGTAACTGCAATCAAGTGCTGTTTACATTTTTCAGAATATTTAAGGAATTTCACCAACAGTGTTAAAATATCTCACTTGAAATCACAAGCAAAATTATGTGTGTTTTTTCAGTAATGTTCGATTTTTGAAATAGTAAAAACCAGGACAATATCAGTTTGTATAAGATACCATAAAATAGAAATTACAATCAATACCTTCCCTTTACTGGGTGGTATTTCGTTAAATACTCCAACATTTTTCTTCTTCATCTTTTTCTAAGATAAATTTATGAAACTGTATTATACAGAGGATTGAGTGTGTTACATTAAAACGACTTTGGAGTCTTACAACGTCATTTCAGTCCATGTTATCACGTATGGTCATGCACTATTTGACAACCGTGCATCTTGACAATAACCCCTCTAATACCGAAAAAGACAGAAACAATAACATACTCAGATTAGAAAGGAAAAATAACAACAAGCATGTTAATGTATGGTTGAAAAAAAGAGAATTAATAGCATAGGTTACAGTTTCAAAATAAAAAAAGATACTCATTATGTGTAATTTAGTGTTGAATAATAAGACAAAAATATCAAAGATATCCCTAACAATCAAGGAACAGACGAACTTCATATTACGAAAATAAGTTGATATTCACCTTATATTCGTTCTTTGGTTATTAAAATATACCTTGATAACGAATCTCACTTCTATAATCTATAAATCTATAAATATGATGGACTAATTTCTAAAGATATATATGATGCCTAAACTATCATTTGATTTACCACTTTTCGCTAAGTTATACCGGTTTCGGGTAGCTGAAATACCTGTCAACTGACGGGGAATGTTTAAACTTAATTAAAACAATGTAAGTTTAACATCAATAATATATTTCAAAGTAATAACTTGAACATAAACTTTATCTCAAAATTTTAAAATTAGAACAAAGCTTCTTCAAACAACATTTGATGTTTGCTTTCTATCTACCAACAAATAAAGATTTTGAGGTGATCCCACCCTTGAATCCTACATCTCATTGACCATGAGAAAAGCATGGTTGTTTGAGAAACAGTCCAGCAACCTTTATACTTTAACCCTGAAATCCTTTAGAATATGGTCAACATGGTCTAAAGTGTCAGCCTGCCAAGATTGTTTGATTCTGACTCAGTAGACTGGGAGTAATTAACCAACAGGCTTTACAAAATAAAAATAGGGTTAATTTCAATTTTGACCCCTTAGGACATTCCCCATAGTTCATAGTGCTTACATACAAATTTTGGTTGAGATTGGTCCAATAGGCTCGGAGGAATTAGGGTACAAAACACACATTTCGTCTATATATATATATATATATATATATATGGATATATGGTGCTTTTAATTGTCTTTGAAACACCACAGTATCAAAGACAGCATACATATAATTTTAATTTCCGTTTGTCGTAGAACCCAGTGTCAGAATCACTTTTGACTGTTGTAATTTCAAAGCAACATAGCGATCATGTACTCTTTTATGTTGAACACTTACTTATATTTCTGAATCACTTAAATATAACTTTAAAGTACGGCATATTCGTTTCTTTGATCTTCTGAAACACACTCTGGCCGAATTAGTTTCAGCGTGCTTACATTGTTCAGTCAGTATGTGTTAAGTTTCAAGCTTCTAATTCGCTATACACCGGCTTCAATCTCTAGAGTAGCTGAAAAGAGATTTATCCAGTTTGTTAACTTTTCAAAAACATTATGACAACATTGGATTAAATACCTGTTGTCTGCAATAACACTTTCCTTCGATTTGCACTTGAGCTACAAAAACAAAACGATTTAGCCTATGGATCGTTCTAGCTTTTTCCGATTGTTAGAATCTAATAGAAACATTTAACATTTTCCACTATTCAAGTATATTCGTGTTTAATGCTGTTAAAAGTAGAAACAAAATACATCTCCAAACGTATACTCAGTATCTGATTTAATTTTAACATTTTTTCTTCGAATACATAGACTATATATATATATATATGTAAATATAAAACTACTTGCTTTTCCGTAAAATGAAGATCTTTCACTTTTGGTATGAAATTGAAAGTTAACCGTTCTTAATTATGATACCGACAATACTTTCATATATATAACCCTTATACATTTCTATTGTTAGTTATGTACTGTGTGCTTTGTGCATGTTGAGCAAATACTCGGGATAAGCAGGTGGCTGAGGTTTCCGAGGGAGTAATGTTTAAGGACATGTAGAGATGAAAATCAACCTGTGATTATTTTTCCTTATCGCAGAACTTCAGCAAGATTTATAAAATAACATTAGAAGCATTTGCTTGCAAATAAGATAATAATACACTTAACAGAAACAATACTTTACTAATTCTGTTGAGTGAAAAGAATGTATCAATTAATGTGGGACTATACCTTTAAGCCACCAAAATGGAACACTTTAATAAGTTCCTTAGTTTTTAGATGTTCACGTTTCGGAATTATTTAAACCAAGCCAACTAATGATTTCAGAAGCCTGACTTTGATACACACATTGAAAATAATATTGTTCTTTATTCCTATCGTACGAGTAGCCTTTTACATAAGCTCAGTGTGTTACATTTCTAGCAATCACCATACTTCCCTACCCACCAGACCTCCACAAATGTTTAAAGCTACCGTCGATGATCCTTCCTGTTGCTTCACTTGACCACCGTAAAAGCAATTCCTAACCTCGATGCTAAAGGCCTCTGTAGACGTTCTTTTCCTCTGCGCGTCACTGTTTCGTTTGTAGACTTTGAAGTTTGGGCCAATAAAATTTGTTGAGGATGAAACCTCTAGGTTGAGTTGTTTACCAAATCCCTTGAATGAGTAGAACAATTTGGAGTGAAAATATTTTGTTTGGCGCTTTGTTCTTGAAAGATTCTGAATATCAGGTTGTAAGTTATGACTAATGTAATTCCCACTGCTGTCTGTCCGCATTGGAATTACTATCTCATGATCTGCTAAAAGAAAAACGATAATACTGAGCTACGTACAATATGTAGTTTAAAATGGACAAGTTTTTACACCACAACTAACTAGCTCTAATAACATCAGAATTAACAAACTATAAGCTATTCAAGACCGTAACTAAAAATACGTCATGTAAATTTGTACATCATAGTATTATTGCTAAAACTCGACCTACTGTCTTAGCCAGTTTCATACAAATATTATATAAAATGTACTTTTTACTTTTTACACAGCCATTATTTCAGAATAAAACCCTTGGAACTTTATGACTTTTTTTATAGGAGAAATAACGATAATAAGGAAAATTGCATAGTTTTCGACGGAGTTCAATCACTGTATTCATATTCCATTCTATAATTTCAAAACGTGACTCAACTAATTAGAAAGGTTTTCTATAAATGGACGACATAGACTAAACGAGAAGGATAAGGGTTAATAGATTTTCATAGACATCCTTCTCAGATAACCACACGTCATAAAGGAGACCGCGTAACTTTAAGATAAGAAGCCAAATATGTTTATAGTGAAACTTTTCATATAATAACACGCTATTTAGAAGTCCACGTAGGTTTATGACAAGAAGAGAATTAAAAAATTCACAGAAAGTGCAGGATTAATGCATCAGTCACCATTCATTTAACAAGCAACTAGAGCTAAAACCATTCATTTAACAAGTAACTAGAGCTAAAACCACTCATTTAACAAGTAACTAGAGCTAAAACCACTCATTTAACAAGTAACTAGAGCTAAAACCATTCATTTAACAAGTAACTAGAGCTAAAACCACTCATTTAACAAGTAACTAGAGCTAAAACGACTCATTTAACAAGTAACTAGAGCTAAAACCACTCATTTAACAAGTAACTAGAGCTAAAACCACTCATTTAACAAGTAACTAGAGCTAAAACCACTCATTTAACAAGTAACTAGAGCTAAAACCACTCATTTAACAAGACAACTAGAGACT